CGTCAGGCGAATAAAAGTATTGTCCCAGCGATCGAGTCGTCTTCTTCTTCTTAATGATGTTTATTGTCCTGAGCCTGCAAACTCTTACGGCAATAGATCGACAGAGGAGGTAAGAAAGAGCAAAAAACGGGGCAATTATAGGGCGTATTGACCAATTAACTTTTGGTGACGCACGTCTGGAGGTTACTGTGAGGGGCTATTTGTTGACGCTGTGCTGTTACCTCTGACGATGAACTATCTTAAGAGCTTTAAGGCTCAGGACAATAAACAGACGGTTCCGGTGCTCGATCAACCTTATTCTTTACTCAAAGTGGCATTGAAATATTGAAACTTTACGCAAATGTCTGTCGCTTATTACAGCTGTGACAAATTTTCTACTCGTGCACAGACTCAAACGTAAAAGTAACTTTGCTGAATTCTGTTCGCGCATCTCACATTGTTAGAATACTCTGCATATATCATGCGGGCCACAACGCAAGATATAATTATCGTAGTCGGCGATGAGGCAATGACTCAAGTCAATGCAAGGGGTGTTTAGTGCAGTTTTATTAAGGGAAAATAGGCGAACGCCTTTGAGCTCCCTAGAAGACGAAGTGTGCTGCGCGACCCGGGATCGAATCCGGTCATTTAGATCTTCAGTTTAACGATCTCCCGACTGAGCTATCACGGCACATGTCGTTGAGAAAACAGCTCCCCACGTAAACGGAATTTCTAAATAATAGAAGTTCCCCACCCCACAGCGGTAGTCGTCAGACTATAGAATCGAGCCAGAGCGATATCCGTTACTTTCATTTTCCGCCACTCATTCTGGCGTAGGTTTTCTCTAAGTAGTTTAGTGGTTTTGATGTTCTGATATATTCAAGTACATTTTGTAGTCGAAATGCACCAAATATTCCCTCGTGTACGCATTCGATAGTAAATAACGTCTTCTTCAAAGTTTGTACTTTTGGACGCTAAAAAGTTGATCCACTTTCGACTACGTTTAAACGTAGGATGTCCAACCTACAAGCAGTATACTTTCGCCGTACGGAAAATCGTTAATTGCTCTACGCTATGAATGAAGGGAAAAATAGGACTCACACAATTCTGAAATGATTGCGGACCACGCTGTATACTTCATAAGGAGAAGTAATAAAGGATGCTGTATGAGTGGACATTTCATGGTCTTAAAAATCACACAAATGCAAGCTTATTACGAAACCAAACGATGCCTTTTTTTCAATTGTAACATTTGAAGAAAGCGTGACTTGTGCATGAAAAAAAATTTCGAGTATGGGTTCTATAAAACAGATTAACATTTAGGGCTTATCCATACAAAGTACGCATATAATTTAAGTAGCCATCTTCAGCATTTTGCATGCGGCCAGGAGAGAGCGCAGTCAAAAGTCACGAGACTTCTAACCAAAAACAGACTTCAGAATCCCAGTTAACCGTAACTAACTGCACATGTCTTTCTAAGGTTGCTGGCGGTCCAAGCCAACTTATCGTAACAACAGGCCCCAATCACTTAGACCGTCAGCCGTAGAAACAAATCTCATGATTAATAAAAAGTGACCGTTGAAGAGACATTGACGGAGGCCACCCAATTGTCCAGAACTCGCCAAACAGCTTACATGAGTCTGTTAAGCATA